TTTTTTGAGATACCGTGTTTAAACACATAGTGGTGCTCTGATACACGCATCTCTTAACACATACTGGTACTTTGATGCATGCATCCCTTTAACACATAGTGGTACTCTGATACACGCATCCCTTTAACACAAAGTGGTACTCTGATACACGCATCCCTTTAACACTTAGTGGTACTCTGATACATGCATCCCTTTAACACATAGTGGTACTCTGATACACGCATCCCTTTAACAGATAGTGCTTCTCTGATAATTGCATCCAGTGAACAAATAGTGGTACTCTGATACACGCATTCCTTTAACAGATAGTGCTACTCTGATAAATGCATCCTTTAACACATTGTGGTTCTTTGACACATGCATTCCTTTAACAGATAGTGCTACTATGATAAATGAATCTCTTTAACACATTGTGGTTCTCTGATAAATGTATCCAGTCAACACATAGTGATACTCTGATACACGCATCCCTTAACACATAGTGGTACTCTGATAGATGCATCCCCTTAACACAAAGTTGTACTCTGATACACGCATCCCTTTAACACATAGTGGTACTCTGATACACGCATCCCTCAACACATAGTGGTACTCTGATACACGCAACCCTTCAACACATAGTGGTACTCTGATACACGCAACCCTTTAACACATAGTGGTACTCTGATACTCGCAACCCTTTAACACATAGTGGTACTCTGATACATGCATCCCTTTAACACATAGTGGCTCTCTGATACACGCATCCCTTTAACACATAGTGCTACTCTGATACATGCATCCCTTAACACATAGTGGTACTCTGATACACGCATCCCTTTAACACATATATAGTGCTACTCTGATACACGCATCCCTTTAACACATAGTGGTACTCTGATACACGCAACCCTTTAACACATATATAGTGCTACTCTGATACACGCATACCTTTAACACATAGTGGTACTCTGATACACGCAACCCTTTAACACATAGCGGTACTCTGATACACGCATCCCTTTAACACATATATAGTGCTACTCTGATACACGCATCCCTTTAACACATAGTGGTACTCTGATACACGCATCCCTTTAACACATATATAGTGCTACTCTGATACACGCATCCCTTTAACACATAGTGGTACTCTGATACACGCAACCCTTTAACACATATATAGTGCTACTCTGATACACGCATCCCTTTAACACATAGTGGTTCCCTGATGCACGCAACCCTGTGTGATACTGATTACACACGTTTTACTTCTGTAGCTGTACCAGGGTTGGTCATGGGTTCGAATCAATGTGGGCCACAGTACTAAACCCGTGTACTTGGGTTTCAGCAGTGTGGTGAGCATATACGGCCTGCGTCGTTTTGGACATTCCTCCCTCACTGCTATGTTGGATTTGTGTTGGAGACGGAATGTTGTCTGTCGCTGCTTCAAGACCCACAATTATGTTCTCAAAAGAGCCAAAACCATTTGGTAACAACCATGAGAGAAGGGACCTTGTGGGTGAAAAATCACATTTTGGCCTTTCATTATATTTTAAAACTACAGTATCTTCGAAACTCAAAATCAAAATTAACAAGTTTCAATTCATAATTTATTACAGAGATACTTGACATCAAATATACGGACTCATTTTCCGACGTATAACTAATTGAAGTTTTTAGACATAATGTCTGATGAATTCAAAGTAGACATTTTGCTGAAAGGTTGTTATTTTCGGGGGTAACATTACGAACTAATGCGAGACAAAAAGATACTTTTTGTACTGTCCGCACACTGGGATCTTTCTTGAAGTAAGGTGACGTCATAAGTCTGTCTGGCGTCACAGTACAATTGTATCCTACCACCGAGTATGACCCTGCCGGATAACATTTTACTTTTAAGCAACACGTTGTTTAGAGCGACACTCAGATGTAAAAATCTGAGGCAAATTAATTTTGATCCAGTATTTTCTGGGACAAATCATGTTTTGAAAAATATCCGAGAACCTGCTGAGCATCAAATGGTCGGCCCTAAAACCCGAAATCACGTGACCAGGCCCCCGGTAAAAGAATGGCCTCTGACCTACTATCGCACTGGTGTTCCTCTTCAAATATAGAAACTGTGTATAATTAATGAAAGCCTTCACATGAACATGTAACGGTGAGATTCATTGTCACTCTAAGCGGCAGTACGAAGGTTGAAATGGTGTGAATTAAATATTTTTTTTGCAGCAACTGATGTAACATTTGATACATTAATATTTGTCGAGTGGGACAGGAGAATGGTTTAAAGTCATCTGCCAGCTCCACTCACACTAGATTGCAGAGGTGAATTAGGTTCAGTGACCTCATCCTTTATCTTTCGAAATATAATCTATATCAGTGATGGCTTGTCTCCTGATGCTTGAATGATCACATTGTCACGAATGTTCTGAATGACGTTTGAGTGGAGGACTGATTGCCAGACTGAACTGATTCCATGAGTCTGGAAGGGTGTCATCAAAGTAGATTATACGTGGTCTATGACGACGATAGGATACATATGTGACCGTTCCTGTATCAGTACTCTATGTATTGCTTTGTCATTTTTGATTCGCATCAGTGTCACAACAAAGTCATTTCAACGTTTTCTTGCGTAAATGATTTGTTTGTTCGTGTGTTGTTTTACGCCACACTAAGCAATATTCCAGCTATATGAAAGCCGTTTGGGTAAATGAAATGTGATCTATTATGATTTTTGGTTGGTTTTGGTTTGTTGTTTTGCGCCACACTCAGCAATATTCCAGCTATATGACGGCGGTCTGTTATATTATGACATTTACATTTGTTTCAGCGTGGTTTCTAACATTATATGGGGTCACGGGCGGCCCAGTCGTCTAAGGCGCCGCGATTCGCTGTGCAGAGTTGCGTCCCTTGGGCACGCCAGAAACCTATGATTGTGGGTTCGAATCCCGGTTCGCCCCAATTATGTTTCTAGGTTTGTCAGCACCATACCCGTGCTCGTGGGTTTCACCGAAGTAGTAAACGTCTTAGACCTGCATCACTTCGGGCTTTCCTCCCACATTAAGCTGACACGCCGTGATATAACTGGAATAATGTTAAAAGCGGCGTTTAACCCAACTCACTCACTCACTCTAACATTATATATACTGTTTTCATTACAAGAGATGAAACCTAGACTAGCTTTTCAAACAGTATAACGGTTCATGATTATGTTATCAGCAAGTGACTTAGATGTTGACCTGACGTGGACAATGGACGATAGTTGAGAATATATCTTGTAATATAAAATGTATGCAAATGCATACCAGAGTAATAGTGAGTGAGTGAGTGAGTTGGGTTTAACGCCGCTTTTAACAGTATTACAGTTGTATCGCGGCGTGACAGATTAATGTGGGAGGAAAGCCCGAAGTGATGCAGGTCTCAGACGTTTACCACTTCGGTGATGCACCAGCACGGGTATGGTGCTGACAAACCTAGAAACATTATCGGGGCGAACCGTAATTCGAACCCATAATCATAGGTTTCTGGCGTATCAAAGGGATGCAACTCAGTACAGCGAATCGCGGCACCTTAGACGACTTGCTACCCGCGCCCCGAGTAAAAATAAGAGTAAAATTGGGGATTATGATAAATTGGGATGCGCCTGAAGGATCCTGGGCAACTTGTAACCTTCTCAAAGACAAGCGCTTTCGGGCGTACAAAGAAAATAATCTGAAATTAATAAGCAAGTAATTACGCACAAATATCTAAATCTCAAATTGTACCGCAAAAATGAAATTCTTATCTGGCCATCGGTTTAGCACTGTTCGATAGTGATTCAGAAACACATGTTGAATATACAGGCGGAATGGTGCAATGGAGATATATTATGACTGTGGAAAGGTTTTTGTTGCTAATATTTTGTCGCATTAGAAATATGTTGTTTTTTTCCACTGACAAGACAACGTAGCATTCAAAAGAAAATAAATCAAATAATGAAAACAAACACTGCTCAAAACAAATTCCGTTTTTATCCATAAAAGTGACAATTCAATTTGAGATAATACGTAAACAAAATGCAAAGTATAAAGTTTCTGATGTATTTGGAAACAGAAAACCTGCAGCTGTGTGCGTGATCATGTAATTGCATGCAGTCTTATTAAAATCGAGTCAACAACAATGCCAATATGTGTTATGTGATACCTCCAGTAATACGGAGCCTACTAGATCACATTACTGTATGATCTTATGAAGTTCACTGTTTGTCGACCTCGTAAATCAACGCCAATAGAATCTCGTGGTAGATAAATCACCTTGGGCAAACATTAAAATGCAACTATAAATGACATGAATATGACATGACAGACTCTTGATAAAAATGATGACAGAACACGAATATTATGTCATTGAGACTTGTTGTCAAGGATCAGTATACTCCCTCTGAGATAGTTATGGCGTTCCGACAGGTTGCCTCACATTGACGTGCTCATGACGTTTGTTAGTACCACCCCCAACCCACCCCTCCTCACGTGTATCAGGTTCACTCCCAAAACGTATACATGCCAAAACTTCTACAGAGAGTTGTCATGGCCGATGGAGTTTACCTATTGTTATAATGGTATAGTCCTCCTGTAATTAAGAAGACTCATTAGCTTCTTTACGATGTTGTTTTAGAAAGGCAAGGAAGGGTACTTTGGGAAGATTAAATAGTTACAGATGTACCTAATGAAAACAACTTATTTGGAGATAAAGAAGATTATAATAAAAAGTCCAACAGAGATTCAACCGTCCCCTCGCTCCTGCCACTGTCCAGACGGATTTTGAGAAGGCTGCCATTCGTGCTGTCAACACAGAGTTCCCGAATGCTGACGTCAAAGGTTGTTTTTTTTCATTATTGTCAAGCGATCTGGCGGATGACAAAGGATCTTGGATAAGCAGTACAGTACAAGGCAGTTGCCGCAGTACAACAATGGATCAGAAGAGCTGCTGGACTTGCCCTCCTGCCCTTGATTGATGTCCAGGACACCTGGTTGGATGCCATGCAGGCAACTCCACCAGTTCCGAGAGCTGAAGACTTCAATGACTATATGGTCATCAACTGGGTTGACGATGATGCTCGGTTTCCAATACCTCTGTGGAATCACCACCAGACAGCCGGCCCTCGCACCAACAACAATCTTGAGGGATTTCACCATCGCCTTGACAGAACCTTACCCCACCGCCACCCGAATATCTACCGATTTGTAGAAGTGATTATGAAGATTGAGTGTGCAGACAGGACAAAAATCGCACAGTTAGACGTTGGTGCCGCCCCACCCAGCAGGATGCGAGTTTACAGAGAGACTGAAAATCGCCTGAGACGTCTTAAGGACATGTTGACTCAAGGACAGAAAACCACTATTGAGTTCCTTGATGCTGTTGGTCATCTTCTCAAACTTGGTTAAGAGACTTGAAATAAAGTAATTTTAGTGCTGTATGTGACAGAGTGAGGCCAGTTGTGACATTAAATTAGTGTGTGTACTATTTATTTATACCAGTGCTTACATTAAATTAGTAAGTAGTCTAGTGCAAAAAGTGTGTGTACTATTTATTTATACCAGTGCCATATGAGTAAATTGTCTTCATTGTCTTCAAATTGTTTGTTTTTGTTGTATGTTGTACACTTAATTAATTGGACTGTTCCAATCAATGCCCAACAGGTAATAGCCAGGAGACTAGTGGTGCAGTGGACCATAAACTTTGTTGTTTTAAGCTGTAGAAGTTTTGGCATGTAGAAGTTTTGGGAGGACACAGTCCATCGAGAACGTCCTTAGTGAATATTGACTCCTCTGAAAACACTCCAGGAGACCATCCACGATTCTTCCCGTGTCAAAGCTCTAAACACCATTGGCGCCTTGCTAGTATGTATCGACATGTTAACGGTGCCACAACACGTGAACGTCGAGAATGTCGATTAGCTGCATGGAGACGATTTGATTTGTTGTTTGGTCTCTATTTCGTAAAGTCTGGTTTCTGATTAATCAATCCTGGACCCTGTGCGGGTCCGATCATTAACATCTGGTGTCTGCAGAAACCTGTGCCAAACTCTGAAAACCACAGACATTGAACATACACTCGTAATGGTTTCGCTGATCTCATGACTTCTACCAGTCAGAAGCTTTCATTGCGTTGTGGACTCCACATTCCCAATCTGATTACAAATATTACAGTAAAGCCAGAGTAGCGAGGTTGTGTATTACTGTGGATAATGAACATCAACAATGTTAATGACACGTATGTGTCAAAATCAAGAAAGACCCCTATCTACGTTCACTGAGGAATAAAATGGTCCACGTGAAATGTTTCGGGTGTGTTTGGGCGTCAGGATTGTTTAATTACATATTTTTTATTGTTCCCAGAGTTGTAGTGTAATACTGTATTCCGTCAAATATATTTTGGATTGCTTAGAATAACACAATACACGGTGTTTGGAAATAAACATTGTGACATTTCAAACTAAAATGGTTGCAGCACACAATCAGATTTTTTATGAAGTTATTTTTGTAGCAATAAATTTCTCGATTGAATTTACGTTTTTAAGCAGTTTTAAAAGTATATCTATTTCAGTTTGATTCCTTTGATTCCATATACATAAATATTCCTTTTCCCAATAAAAGTATATGAATAATTAAAGTATTAGAGTAGTAAGACCCAAACCAAATAATGTATTTTGTCAATTTAATTGTTTGTGAAACATAATTATTAAGCCAAACTTCTAGGTAATTCCAATTTTATAAAGTTTCATTAAATTCCCAAAAGACATGGTTGATCCCCTTATTGACAGCATAACAAAAGCTACATACATGTACACTGTTGTCTACAAGAATCATTGTTAATAGTTCCTTCTTTGTGTTGATAATTCCATGTAGAAATCTGTATTGAAAATCTCCAAACAAATTACATCCTTCAGTTTACATCTATAAAGAGTAAATATGTTTTCAATTATCTCACAGTCAAAACTTGATTGCCATTTATAACAAACTTTATTTTATATTATATATTTTTTATATTAGTAAATGCCATTATTAGCCCATTGCTTCACGTAGGGAGAGTCGGGATTTGGTTCCGAAAATCTCTAGCCGTCATTTTTCAAAGCAAATCTTTCTTCCGACGATCGATCAAATATTCTCTTTCAAGATGCCCTATTTTGTGGGGAGAGTACATGTATATATCAATCAGTGTATTTGGTCATGGTCACATCCAGGAAAATCCGAGTGTAAAAAGAACTGGATGTGTTGTTCAAAGCGATCAATTTTCTATTATGTTGTAGTTCTATTTTGGTGTTCTTTTAGGTAGTAATTATCTTTCCCGCAGATTCTCGAGATGATTATTCTCTAGCGTTGACGTTTTTAATTGACTTGATCTCAGCCGATTTTCCGCTGTTGGACAGAAGTTCCCAAGTTTCATCATAAGATCAGTAGCATTTTTCAATTATGTGAAGTCAAAGACCAAACATTCTTCAGTTCGAGACATAAAAAAAAGGGGGGGGGGGGGGACATTTTGCTATTTTGCTTAAGTGTGTTTTCATTCTTGTAAGCAGCAAAATATCTGCTAGTGCACACAGCATATTTAATTGATAGTGATGAAATAATATCGTTTAAAGTTTTAACAAGACTATTGGTTATCTGGTCCAGACTCGACTGTTAAGAGGCCGTGGTCGTATGGCGAGACTATTGCTGGGTTTGGCGTCAGGCAACATACACCTACTCTTTTCTGCAATTGTGTGAATGGCAGGTGCAACCGAACACCTGGTGTCATCACTGAGTTTCAGTGGTGAAGTTATATAAGTTTCATCTCTACTGTGCCTTTCACGCCCACTGCAATCAGATAATCAAGATTGATGATTCTCTAGCGTTGATATTTTGAATTTACAAGGTGGACAACAACGTGAACGTAATGCAAAACAAAATTGTATGAAGTACCCTCTCTCTTTTCTTCTTGTTTTACACAAACATGTCAATCATCACGTATTCACGTGTGAAGTGCTCATCAGAAGCTTTCAATTCTATTGAAATTCTGCTTGATCGTTAAGAAGTACAAATCTTTACTTGAGACTTATTATTGTGAAATTAAATATAACAGATAGGACAGGATCCATTGGTCTATCTTTTACCTCCGTAATTTAGATAATTGCTTCGCTTAGGGATGCGAATCTACTTTCAATTGTTTACAACTGGATAAAGTAATACTATTTTTGCCACAGAGAAAGGACAAAGGTGCATTTACAGCTCTCCCCCGAGTACTGCCGTCGAGTAAAATCATATGCAATATGTCAAAGCCAACCACCATCCTCCTTATCAATATAATCAGGGCCGGAATTAGCTGTCGGAAGTTTAATGTTCGTGGAAAGCAATTATGTTCGACGACAGTTATGGGAATGTCTTTCAAGAAGATTTCCCCCCAGAAATAGCGTAGTATTAACTCGACTAATGGGGATCAGGATTGTTGTGGACGAAAATAATCCCATAAAAAGAAACCTACTGACCCACAGACAAAACAAAACGTTCGAAAAATAGAAATAATACCTACTGTTCCACTCATATGTTTATCAACCTAAGATTTTATTTTTTTCTAAACGCTTACAAAATATAAATTTAAAATATATATAACAAATTATTATTTAAATCGTACCACTGTGTTTTGACCAAATGCATCCTCGATCAATGCTCGCAATCTTTTGTTTATATCATTCCACGGCGTGTCAGCTTAATGTGGGTATAAAAATTCCGAAGTGATACATGTAGACTCTTACAATTTCGATGAAACCAACAAATACATACATCGGGACGAACAGGGGTTCGAATCCACGATCATTTTTCCTGGCGTGCGCAAGAGACGCAACTACATGTATGTACAGTGAATTACGGCGCCTTAGACGACTGGGCCACCCGTGCCACAAATTAGATTGTGTTGTCTATATGAAAATAGAATTGTCTTAAGAGCAGTGATGAAGGTACATCAAGTCTTCTGTCTGTTCCGAATAACACGCCTGTGTGCCTGTTGTAATATGCGACTAATAGGGATCAGGTGGTGAGGCCAAGTGACTTGGTTAATTGCTAGTCATTACAATAGCATTATATAATAGATATTGGTTCTGAAAAGACAGCACTCGTGAAGATCCGGGGTAGACTAGGCCTTCAGCCAACCATGCTTGCTATAAAAGGCGACTATGCTTGTCGTAAGAGGCGACTAACGGGATCGGGTGTCAGGCTCGCTGACTTGGTTGATGCATGTCATCGTATCCCAATTGTGTGGATCGATGCTCACGATGTCAATCACTGGATTGTCTGGTCTAGGCTCGATTATTTACAGAGCACCGACATATAGCTGGAATATTGCTGAGTGCTGCGTTAAACAACTAACCAACAACTAAATCCCATACAATAAGGTTCACAGGTACGTGTAACTGGAAGCTCGAAGCTGGAATATAGCTGAGCGCGGCGTTAAACAAAAAACAAACAAGCAAACAAAATACATCAGGCACGATACTCATTTAGATCATCAGGCGTTTCCCTCATATACCGAAATAAAAGGAAACCCCGTTATGCTGTGCTTACATTAATGACACTGCTTCTACTTTAGAACAGTAGATAAGGTAGACTAATAGTACACTAAAATGATAAACGATTAATACAATTCTTATACAACTATCGTTTATGTCCATTAAAACATACACCCACTTTTCATCTCATGGAGTAATACAGGTGAGGGCAAGAAGGTGGAAATGCTTTCCTTGGATATTGACGTTGCTACTTTACAAAAGGAACTAAAAGGCAGGACGCTGTCTGAGTGAATAAGTAATAGTACTGTCCATCATCATGATCATGGCTGTTAATACTCAAATAGCAAACACAGAAAGGGTAAACCTGTTAACTGGGCTTCGCTAATGGTATAAGTATGAGTCATTGAAAGTGATGAATGGCAAATGCTTTTGAACGTAACACGAACAATTTGATAATTTTACCTTAACCAGATAGAAGTCCAAAATAATAGAACACTCTAGCTAATTTATGTCTATATTTCGTACTGATTGGAAACGATTGGATAGAGAGATTGAGAGAGAGAGAGATAGTCGCTTCATCCTTCATCTGTTTTGTTTCTTAGTCATCAGTTCTGAGACATCTTTAATTGGGAACTTCTTATCAATATTATCCATTAAAATGATAAATTTGACGCTTTGGACTTAGATTTGCATTTTGTAGACGCCAGAGACTAACCAATCTCGACTATCTGCCGAAACAGATTCCATCGGGCGAAAAAGTCCAAATGGTGGTGAACATTATACTTTGCAAAAAGAAACGCGAAGGAGATTTTAGATGTATCTTTCATAGAGCATATATATAATCAACAGATGGTAATCGATTGTTCAAAATCGGCACACAACACTGTCATTAATCCAGGTTCC